TATCGCATTTTTTAATTCTTCATGCGTATTTTTATTTTCTATTCTGTCTGTAGCCATAGTTTGTTTGATGTCCCCTATGTGTTTTTCAAGCCCAGCTATTAATTTTACCCTTATTATTCTAAAATCTTGTTCAGTGATGCTGCTGATATCTGTTTTGAGCAGTTCATTCGCTTTCATTTCTTCTTGGAGTTTCTTTGGAGGAGAGCTCTTTCGTTTCGTCATTTTAGTTAGCTTTCCGGCTCTTGTTGGTTTTAAAGACCTATTATTCTCTCTGTATCTATGAGCGCTGCTGTATCCAAGAAGGCTCTTTGACTGTCCAGGGCCTATCCTTTCAGAGAGTGTTTTTTGAATGGTATCTCTTGGTCTCTCTTGTTGGGACCTTGGTTATTTTATTTTCCTATTCGTAGTGATATTTGGGACTCTCCACCTTGTGTATTCTGGCTTGTTTTTTGAGGCAGCCTTGGAAAAGAAAACAGACAGACAAACACACAGGGAGCAGGAGCACACAAACGCAAAGGCTAATTCAACTAACATGCAAACCGAGGGAAAACAAAAAAGTGAAGAGAAAAGACGGAGGAGGGAGGGCAAATAATAGAGAGTATAAAATACATAAAAGGGTCAAAAAGGAGAAAAGGAGAGGAAGAAAGAAGAAAACCGATGGACAAAGAACGTTTTAAAGCATATAACCGGATTTCCCAGCTACAGTTAAATAGCCGTGTGTATGCAGTGCTGGTTGAAGAGCATAGAGAAAGAGAGAGAAGACAGGGCGGGAAGACAGGGCGGGGATGAGGCAAAATTGGAAATAGAATGAACAGGAAGAAGGGATAAGAAGCTTTTTTCAAAGAGGTAAAGGGTAGAATATGGTTGGATATGTGATAGAAGGATGCTGGGATTATCCAGAGAAACTATATAGTCTAATTACTCCTGAGAGAAGAGATGAAAATGTCGGTAGTTGTAGAATTTATATTTACAGAATGGACTCTTTGTGATTGTTCAAGCAAGCTGGTGACCAGAGTTAACCAGGTCAGTTTTCTGGGGAAAAAAGAGAGAAAAGAGAAAGAAGAAGAGAAAGTTAAAAAAAAAAAAAAAAAAAAAGGGAGGAAGGCAGCTCTCAAGCAGGGATGGGCGTGCCGGAATCCAGTGCCTCAGGCGGGAGTTCTGCCTTGGTGGGTGTGGGGAGGAGAGTGATGTTGCTCCAGTCCCTTCTTGAACCAAGCGCTGCACCTCGCTTTTTGGGCGTGTAAACTCCCCGTACTGGGGGCGCAGCCAAAGTTGGTTGCGCTCTTCAACCCAGGCCGGTCTCAGTCTCCAAATCCCAGTCTGAGCGCTCCGCTGAAATTGCCTTAGACACAACTTCCCAGGCAACCCCCTCGGGCAATTCCAGGCCCCCTGCCGAGCTCTGGGGGTGGAGTCAGAGTCGTTGCTTCCTTCTCTGGGTCGGGCTGGTGAGCATGGGTGGGGGCTTGCCTGCCGGGTGCGCCGAGCCCGCTGGAGTGAGGAAAACCAGGTCGCTCTATGGCTCGTCACCCGAAACACAAACTCACAGGCAAATGTCCCAGTTTTTAGCTCTCTGCCTTCCCTCTAGAGTTCCAGCCAGCCAGGTGCGAGGACGCCCGGTGTCTGAGCGCGGCTCTTCCAGGGGCCCAAGCCCGCCGGGAGGACAATGGAGGCAGGAGTGCCGCTACTCTAGAAGTGCAACCAGCCAGGAGCCCGCACAAAGAAGCAATCTGTGTGCTCAGCCCCTCCGGTACCAGTTGGCGCGAGGGGACCTGGCAGGTATTTGGCAAGTAAGGTCTTTCTATGCCCTGAGCAGAGGTTTTTCTGTTTCGGCCTCTCTCTTTTTCCCCTCTCAATCCCCGTAGAGGGGGATCGCCTCCGACCCTGGAGTCTCTGACCTCGGCCCAATTTTATCTTCCCCAGTTCGCACTCACGTTAGAAGGCTTTCTCAGTGGATTCTGCATCCTTTTTCTCCCAACCTCTCAGGTTTTGTAAGGTTTCCAATGGCTTCAGATCTTTTCTGTGTGATGTATGGGCGCGAGTGAAAGTATGGAGCTCCTTACATCTCCGCCATCTTGCCCCTCCCTCCAGCTCTTATTATTTAGGACATGTATATAACAAGGCAGTAAATTGTTTTTTCGTATGACTGCACTTATTGAATATTATTTTCCAAATTCAGCCATAATTTGCCTCCCTCTATCTTCTATTCATTGGGGATATACCTATGATGCTAGATGCTATTAATTTGTCTGAATATTGATAATGTGCTTAGATCATATGTGATCCTATGTCTGGATGTGTATATTAGTCTTTCAAACTAAGCATGTAATAAGTCTGAACACTGTTTTCACATGCACTATCTTAAACTATGTCTCCTCAAATATACTTTTGTATTGTCTTCTACAGTCAAATGTAGGAGTTAGTATTTATACTATTAAGTTTCATCTTACTTGATTCAGCACTCAAATCCAGACGTAGGGTTAATTTTGGAAATTGCACATATATTTAAATATCTTGATTTATATCGTAACCTCCTCGTGCTCAGAGACAAAAGTTGGGAGCAGAGCAAATGTGCCAAAGTTGGATTCTAGGTCCTTTACAGTTAATAGAAAATTAATTTTATGATAGGGTTAACATAAAGTTTGTTTTTGTCAAAAGGTTTTGTTTAAAAATTTTTGAAAACCACTTTCTAGAGCAAGTCACCAGTGCTTCCCCCAAGAATGTAGTTAACATCACACCCTTATCTCTCTCACAACTTGCTACTGCACCTAATTTAAATGATTTTAATGTTAAAATTTTGTATGATTTACACAATGTTGATGAGATTGGGTGCTAATTTTACTAAATCATTGATCTATTTACGTTATTTGATAAAGATCTTAGTAATTTGGTTTCTTAGTAAATATTCTTATATAGTTTTGAATTCCTACCCTCCACCTTTCAACACAAAATGGCTTCTGCAAAAAAATTTATCAATTCTAAAAATGCTTACAATTCAATTGATCTTATACTTTCTGTGAAAAAAAGCTGCATTTTTTGGGTCATGTTCAGAAAAGAGATTTAGCCATTTTTGTGACAAATTCCAGTCTATTTGGTATTCTGGTTCTTGTTTTCCCTCTCCTTTCATTAGTATACCAGATATTTTAAAAGGAAGGGCAGTAGTATTGTAGTACCAAATAATCTTATACCAACAGTCTCATGGAATAAAAGTTAATTTGGGATCTATCTAACTCCCTTTCAGACTGTTCATTCAACCTGGCATATACCCAATCAATCATTATGCTTCAGCTCCTATTTACCATTTCAATCAAAACTCAAGAGAAAACACTATTAAATGTCCTGCCTATGTGCAGATACAGCACCATCTAAATTTATTTACTTTTTTGGATAAGATTACTTTTTTGGATATGAATACTATAGCCCATTTTTCCTATTTCTAATGACTCCATGTTGGATTCTGATGGTATTCCCACAAGGTCACACAGTCGACTTGATAAAACTGAGACCAGAATCCTGGAATTTGGATTCCCAGGATTACTCCTTCTACTATACCATGATGATGCTCAAATGCTTACAGGAAGTGCTTATCATATAAAAGGGAGCACCAGAGTAGAAAAAAAGTGTGAAACAGTTTCAAGGTAATGCACCCTCACGGCCCTTTTCACTTATAAATTCTTCCTTCTTCAGTTTCAAGTATTTAGTGGATCACCTTTTTTTAACTTAAAACTGAACTCCAGTCTGAATACCAGTTTCTCCTAAGCAAGATGTAGAATAAATGGAGTTATTAAAACTTTACATTGTGAGCTCCTGAGAGGTCCTGAAATGTTTAATTATTTCCCCTCTTACTCCCAAAATAAAATCATCATTGGCTGGGAAATGATCATTTACATAAAACTGTAGAAATTAAAACACTTTAATATAATATAAACATTTCCAGAATATAGACTGACTTTGTATCAGTACTTTTTGAGAGCTTTTTAAAACTATATATCATCTAAACTTATTATAGACTGTTTCATTTTCCACTTTCAGAACTAGAAAATACAAAAATACACTGCAAATTAGATTTAACAAACAAAAAATTGGTCTAAATCACTTCATACATTTTTCTTAGAGAAAACCAAGAAACAAACACACAATAACAACAATAAAATACCACCACTAAAACAAACCCAAACAAGGAATGGATTCTGTAATGACTGGTAATTCTCTTGTTTAAAATAAATCTTTCATGGGCAAATAATTCACTGCCACAGCAATTTTATGAATAGAAGTAGAAGCAATCTCGTTAAGCAAAATTACATTTTATGTAAGAAACACAATTTTTCTTTTTTTTAAGAAAATGAGAAAAAGTAACTTGAGGAAAAGGCATATTGAATACTTTTACTTCACTTGGCTTTTGTTAGAGGTTAAAGTTAACTGTTCATTTAGGAAAATTCAAATAACATAAATTTCATGAAACCAAACATTTCAACTTATTTCTTCAATTCAACCTTAAGGGAACAAAACTAAAAAGTTCAAAATCCAAGAGTAGGCTCCACCCAAAGCATTGTCTTTCTTCAACAGGTTTCCTTTTCTTTTCTGTTCTTGTTGTATTCTTATGTTCTTTCTCAGATGCTAGATTTATAGCTGGTTCTTCTTTCAACTCAATTTCAATTTTTACAACCCCTAACACTAAGCTTTCCTGAATTGTCAATGACCATATCCACCTATGCTTTTTTTTCCCACTGGCTGTTCTTGTTTTCGTCTAAATCCATTTTATAAACTGATTTCTTCAACTCATCCTTGGGTAAATAAAGTGAAATGTTCAAATTCCTAAAACAGACTCATCCCAATACACTGACTCTCTGTCTTTTCTTCAACAGGCTTCTTTTTCTCTCATGTTCTTGTTGTGTTCTTATGTTCCTTCTCAGAGAGTAAGTTTAAGCTTATTTGTTTCTTCTTTCAATTCAATTTCAAATTATAAAGATAAAAACTAAGCTTTCCTGAACTTAACACTGACTATATCCATTGCTCCTTTTCTTCACTGGATATTCTTGTCTTTGTCCAAACTCATAACTGATTTTGTCAATTATCCTTGGGTAAACAAAGCTAAAACTCAAAATCCAAGAATAGATTCATCCCAAAGCATTTCCTCTTCTGTCTTTTCTTCAACAGATTTCTTTTTCCCTTTCTTGTGCTTACGTTCTTCTTTCTCAGTGGGCACACCATGGCTTTTTTTCTTTTTTCGATGCTTAAGCTTTCCTGGACTGACACTGACTTTATCTCCTCCCTGTCTTTTCCTTTGTCGGATGCTCTTGTCCTTGTCTAGATTTGTACCCCCATAACTCTTTTTCCTTTTATGCTTGGATTGCTCTTTCTCTGACCTTCCTTCACCTTCTTCCAGGTGCCTTTTTCTCTTCTGATGTCTCCGTTTATGACCTGTTTTATGGTCACTGGTACTGTTTTCTGAGAGGTGCTTGTAAACTTCAGATTCTACACTATACGAGCCAGAGTTATTTTCTTGCTGACTAAGGCTCAGGGGTACTGGCTTTTCTGGAAAACAGCCTCTGATGGGTTCACAGGATATAGAGTCTAGTCCCTGTATGCTGTCATGAGCTGGTAAGCAATGAGGTAACTGGTTTTCCACTACTTGGGAAATACTGTATGATCCTGTATAAGTCTGGGAAGTCTCAAATGGGACTTTTTGCTCAAACATTCTATGTTTGGGTCTGGAATCAACCTTTTCTTTGTACTTATGGGTTTCTATAGCGCTATCACTAATCTTTCTGAAACAAGTCTTTGGCTCTAGTCCTCTGGCTTTCTGCACTTTGATGTAATCTTCTAGCTCATCTTGGAAAGAATTGTAAGTTCTTTTTGAATGAACTGGTAACCAATAATGTAATTGGCTCTCCACTGGTGAAATATTGTATGGTTGTTGGTAAGTCTGGGAAGTCTCATGTGAAAATCTTTGCTCAAACATTCTTTGTCTGGGTCCAGAGTCAACTTCTCTGTACCCACGGGTCTCCACAGAGTTCTCTCTTATCTTTCTGAAACAAATCTTTGGGTCTAGTCCTCTGGCTTTCTGCACTTTGATGTAATCTTCCAGCTCATCTTGGAAAGAGTCATATGTCTTCTTTGAATGAGCTGGTAAACAATGAGGTAAATGGTTTTCTGCTGTTTGTGAAATACTGTATGATCCTGGGTATGCCCAGAAAGTCTCACATGGGAGTCTCTGTTCAAATATTCTATGTCTCGATCTAGAATCAACTACTTCCCTGTACCAACGGGCTTCTAAATAACCCTCTTCCATCTTTCTGAAACAGGTCTTGTGTTCTGGTCCTCTGGATTTCTGCATTTTGATGTAATCTGCACATTCATCTTGGTAAGAGTCGTGTGTCTTCTTTGAATTCTTCACTAGGTTGATAACAATAGATTCTCTGCAAAGAAGACAGTATAAATTCTTGTTACTAGGCTATTTTATTCTGAATACTTTCTTTGTTTTGAAAAAGATTAGTCTGGAAAAACAAAAACAACAAAAGTCCAAACAAATATTAAAACCTTACTTCAATATAAAAGCTAAAAACCATCACCTTTTATGGTAAAAAGCAGCAGCAGGAATAGTCAGATATTTCTCAGACACCTCACAATTTTTTACATATGAAAAAATTTTCAGGGCTGAGATGAAAGGGAAGATGGGTACAAAGATGCAGACATAGCTGATACTGCCTTAGTACTTAAAATGTAAGGCATGTTGGGATATGTGGGAAAGAATCAATAATATTTAATGCCCTGAAGATGGTATGATATGAATGTCACATTGTTTTAAAAGTTTTAATTACACTTGTTGGGATGAGCACTGGGTGTGATATGGAAATCAATTTGAGAATTAACTATAAAAGAAAAAAAATTAGTTCTTTGATTATTTCTTTGTATAGAGCTATTAGTGTAATGGCTATTTGTTCTGGAACCCTGAGATTTAAAAAAAATTCAGAATGAAGGGTTAATTTGGTGAAGTGCCCAAGTGTTTACCTCCTAAGTATTTATACTCAAAGTAGAAATATTTCCAACTAGAATAAAATAATGTTAACAGAAACACTATGGTTTGATATTTAAAGCAACAAACCAAAAATACAATACTCAAGTGACCCTCTGTCCTACTATCTAACTTATCAAGTCCCTAATTGTCCACTTAACCCTTTCTTCCTTGAAACAACAGAATAGAATGGAATAATTATTTTGTTCCTTTTATGTGCCAGGCCAGGCACCTTATGCATATTTTTATACTTCATTATAATCACTTTATTTTTTTTTTAATGTTTTTTATTTATTTCTAGGAGAGAGAGAGAGAGACAGCGTGAGCAGGGGAGGGTCAGAGAGAGAGGGAGTCACAGACTGAAACAGGCTCCAGGCTCTGAGCTGGCAGTCAGCACAGAGCCCGACGCGGGGCTCGAACCCACGAACCGCGAGGTCATGACCTAAGCGAAAGTCGGACGCTTAACCGACTAAGCCACCCAGGCGCCCCTCATTATAATCACTTTAAATTGGAGCTGTCCAAAGTTATACACTTGTTAGACAGATCTGATATTCCAGTCGAGGTCTGACTAAGAGCAAGACCTTTATTCTTAACCACTATACCTTGCTAGAAGGATGATGACCAAATCACTGTACCCCTGGAACTATGCCAACCTTCTAGGAATGATTTGAATTTGTAAGGCTAAATGAGAATGAGGACAATGTTGTCTGGTCAGGAGAAGTGCCAATTATCCAGCTCTGCAAGTATACTATCATGGCTAGAGAACTCCCTAGGGGATTCCACTACCATGCACTTTGTGACAAATACCATTAACTATCACAGTATCAACTCATAGGGAAGTGAATTCCTAGAAAGTTTTGTAAAATACATGCAAGGGTATTTGACAGAATCCCTACTCTCTGGTGTCAGAGGAGCATTTTGGCAAAAAATACTTACTTAATTTGGTGTTCACTTCCTTGCATATGGGACCGGAACATTTCTAAAGATGTAAAGGTGATATTACAAATATGGCAAACATAGGTCCTCATACTAAATGCTGAAAAAAGAGAGAGTCCAAGTTAAGGAGATCACTATGGATACATTTAGAAACACAAAACTGGACAGGAATTTACTAGAGATCATCTACTGAAATTTCCCAAGTTAAAGATAAGGCCCAGAGAGCTCAAATGACTTGGTCAAAGTCAGAGTGGGTCAGTAATAGAGCTAACCTCTTGGAGCCCATGCTTAAAGCCCAGAATTCTTTATACTACACTACACTACACTACTTCTCTAACCTTGGCCTCTTTCCTAAGAAGCTACTATCTGCCTGCCTATTGTTTCTACATGGAAGTGCATCAGGGAATTCAAATTTAGTATACCCAACTAACCTGTGCCTCTTAATCCTTTAACCAACCTCTTTTTGCTTGCCCCTAATTCTCTTGCCACCCAACAAAAATCTGAAATGTCTCAAAAGAATAAACAAAAGCAAAGTTTTACTCTCTTACCTGAAATCACTGTAGTGCATTAGTTTACCAAAAGTAATTTCCACAGACAGATATTAGAAAGGAGAGAGGTTTAGTGAGCCCCACTCTCAGGGTAAAAGCTGAAAGCAAAATTCTAAAACAAAACTACTAGTTACCACTTCAAAAGAGTCAATAACTATAGAATAGGTATGCCAGCTACCTCTCTATTCTGCTTCTTAGGTAGAACTGAAAGCAGGGGATAAATTAATCTTTATTTTATTAAACTCATCATCTTTCCACTTTATCTTTGGTCGGAAATAGAAAATTGATAAATTTCATAAGCCAAATATAAAATAATTCCACCCTAAGGAAGAGGCAATATATTGGTGGATGTAGTAATTTTAGGATGAAACAAGGTTATCTTTAAATCAAACAGCAACTTAATCACTCAAAGGATGCCAAATTAATCAAGTGTATTTGTCTTGTCCACACAAAGACTACTCATAGAAACAGGAGACTATTCTTAAGGAGAAATAAAGATGTTAACTTTGAAGAACACAAGGACTCAGCTTCCCACTGACGTAACTCTAGTGGGCCCAGGAGAACTCAGCAGGTATGCCAAAGACTGAATGAATGATTCCTCATAACTTTCCTCTCTCCCAGTGCTCTGATTGCATGCTAACCAAGTCTATTTCTGATTATAATTTGGCTTCCCATTGTCTTTGATACCAAAAAAGGGATACCCTGGGTGATATGTCCAGGTTTTAAGAACCCTAGGAAGTGAAAAAAGATATATCTCCTCCTACCATAAATCAATACCAGAATGACAATGTATTAACTTAATTTACTATGTTTCCCAGACTCCAGAATTACTTGGAGTATTATTTAAAATATAGATCCCCAAGCCTCTCCCTGGAGAACATGATCCTCTGTTTCTGGGAGAGGGAATTCGTGTTTTAACAATACCCCAGGTAGTTATTCTTAGAGAATGTGTGGGAAATACACTAAGAGAATATCTTTCTAGTTCCTTGATTATTTATCAGTGTTTTCTAAGTTTTTTTTTTTTGTGTGTGTGTGGTCTAGTCAGTCCCTGATTTGAGGCTGGTCAACCCTGAAGATTTTGGACTTCCTGCAAAGCTAAGGACTAAATCCAGGACTCTGCATATTTATAACAACTCTTTTCAAAAAATTACTATACCCTTATTTAACAATTGTGAAAATTAAAGCTCAGATTTGCTTGGCCAATACCATACATTTTGAGAGCACCCAAGTTATGCAAGATAAGCAGGAATCCTGGTTTCCTCTAGGTTAGTGGTTCTCAATGCTAGCTGTACATTAGAACCATGTGGAAAACTTTAAAAACATTAATGTTACAGCTCCACATTGGACAATTTAAATAAGAATCTCTAGGAGTAGAACCAGGCTTTCTTACTTTTTCACAGTGTTTTAGATGATTTTTCTATACAACTGTTGTTGACCAATTCTCCCTTAAATTATCAAGCCGATGATCTTCATTATGATTATAAACTCAGATTATATTTTAGGGGTTGCACATATTTGTTTAGTGCTTATAAAAATATACATAATATTCTCCTCAGTTCCTCCTTTGCTTCTTCAAAAATTATATCAGAAGATTATAATAGACATAATAGAGGGATTTAGAGAAGCTTCAGGTCACATATAAAAGATACAGGGTCAGTTCTGAAACTGTAGTCTGATTACTATTACCTTAGCCCTTGTCGTTTTCATACACTGATATTCTTTATCTTTTTCTGGATATTAACATCTCAGAAAATAATATATTCAAAAATATATCTCAAAAAGTAATATGTAAAAATATATAATAAATGGTATAAACCTTTTCTGGGAAGCCTATTTATTGGCTCCAAGATCAGAATTACTGGTCTAATTCCCTGCAACCTGCCTTCACTGTTTCTTTTCCTTTTCCTCTTTTAAATTCAGGTAGAATTAATATATAGTGTCATATTAGTTTCAGACATACAATATAATCATTAAACAATTCTATACATTACTTAGTGCTCATCAAGATAAGTGTGCTCTAAATCCCACTGATCCACTATGTTTCTTACACTTTATATTTTCCTATCTGAGTCTGTTCCTTGGCCCTGCCCTGCTTTCTTGCCCTCAGCTCTGCTAGGGTTCCTTGTTTCTGACTTCACCCAGAAACTCCAGCTTCCCTGCATCTCATACCTTTCAGAATCTTCTATAACCTAACATTTGTGGAGCCCACTCTTCTAATCACAGTCCTATCTCATAACTCCACAGACTAAGATCTTTGTTTTGTTTTCAAAACATAGATTGGAGTAATGTATATCTTTATAGTCTAACCTTGTGGTTCTCAATCTTGGCTCTATAGCCCAATCACTTGGGGAGTTAAAATACAGAAAACAAAACACAAATGTGTAATCCTAGGGGTTCTAATTTAATTACTTTGAGGGATGGCCTGAGCTTTGACATTTCTAAAAGCCCCCTGCATGCTTCTAACATGTAGTCAAGGTGAGAACCATTGGTCTAATAGCTTAAATGAAAAGTAATCAATTGAGAATTGCATGTAAGCAAAAAATCAACTTAATGTGGGACTTAGTTTATGAAGAAAAATTGTAAATGTCTAATTTACTTGTTTGTAAATTATGACAGAACAAAACATTTCAAAAAATGTAACATTTCTTTAGGACCTATTCTGTGATGGGTACTGCAAATACTGTTTCATTTCATCCTTTGTCAATCTAGTGACATAGACTTATTTTCATTTTACACCTTCAAAATCTGAGATACAACTGGGTAACTGACTTCAAACATATCTCCCAACCTGTGTTTATCCTTCTACATGACACTGCCTGTCAATTAACAATTAGTAAATATTGAGAAAAACTATATAGTTATTACCATATAAAGCAATGAGATGGATATTGAAGAACAAAATATAATTTTTTTGTCTTAAGGAGGCTAAATCAGTTAAGGAGTTATAATTAATGCAATTGTCAATGAACAATGAATCTATGAGAAATCAGAGGAAGGGGAGAATACCAGGATCTAGAGTAGTGAGGGAAGTTATGATGGATCTTGGAGGACAAGGAGGATTTGAATTGTAAGGAAGGCAGAAAAGGGCATTCCAGGGGATGAAAACAGTATCAGATATGACATAGATAGAAATGAGTATGATGTGTTGATTTCAAATAATCTGTTCAAAAAACACTGAGGGTCTATGTGGCACCAACCATCATGCTAGATTCTAGGGGTATAAGATGAATAAAATGGGCAGGTTTCTTACAAATCCAAGTGAGAAACATATTTAAACAAAGGATTTCAATCTCATTAGGTAAAAGGTAAGAAGTATGCTTAAGGGGTATGGGAGCTCAAAGAAGTAGAGGCATTTAAACACAGTGTGGTGGTCTTAAGAAGGCTATTGGAAGAGATGATGCCTTAGTTAAACTTGGAAGGATGAAAATTAGTTAACTTGATGAAAAGAGTTGAGAAGAGTATTGTGTGTAGAAGGACTATCATGAAAAAAGCATAGAAGTACTTATAGGAGCTTCTTAAAATTTGGAATTGCTGTAGAATAAAATATAACAGGACAAGATGGGAGAGGCAAAAGGGTGTCAGGTCAGAAAGATGTATATATTATGCTAAGGAGCCTAGACTTTTTTATTCTGTGTATTGTGAAACCTTGAAATGCTTTAAGTAGTAAGTGATAAGGTCAGCTATGTGTTTTAGAGAAATCTCTCTTCCAGCTGCAATATGGAGGATAAATTTGAGAGGATAAAATTGAGAGGAACAAACCTTAAAGTAAAGAGACCACATTTATGTAAATACACTAGACCAGGCAAGAGATAAGGAGGCATGGGCTAGAACACATGGAATACGGAGATTGGTGAAATATACCATTAAAACTGGCATAACTTAGTGACTGATTGAATGTGGGAGATAAGTTTACCTGAAGGGCGTGAGAAGGGTAAGTGTAGAGGAGTAGAAGAAAGTCTTGGAGAGTGGGGCAGGTTTTAATATCATTGCTGAAAGGAAAGTGAATGGGAAGGTAAAGGATTAAGTAGGACTTCAAGTCCATAGAGGTTGGATTCCAAGACTCTTTCAAGGTACCCAATCTCTGTCTTTACATAATTTTCCATAGCATCACTCAGTACCCTGAACTTAAAATAGAAAATGTGGACTGTGGAACTGGTCCAGGGTTGAAATCTTGCTACTAGGGAGTGAGAGAATAACAATGAGGTATAAGTATAGCCTTCCCAAAGGTTGTTACAGAATTGGTATGTGAAAAGATGGTAGTGCAAATGTAACGGGAGGGTACCGGAAGGAAAATAGTTCTAGTAAGACTTGATTAAGACTTGCTGATGGACAGGATATAGGAAAATTAAGTGGTCAAAGATGCCCTCAAATATTCAAATGTAGGTGACTAATAAGTAGTTGTACTACTGGCAAAGGCAGAAATCTTGGGAAATTCAAGTTGGATTTAGAGAAGATCATTCATTTCATTTTAGATATGCTGAGTTACAGGTGAAGGTGAGACATCTAAGCACAATGACAAGGCTAGAAATTAGTAAGATAAAACAAATACAATAAATAAAAAAATACATACATACTTTAGTTCCATATCGTTATGGTAGCCATTCCTGTGCTAATAAGATCTGGACTGGATGAGGGACATGAAGAAAGCAGTGAGAATGATGAAGAAAGACAGAGGTTAGGTATAGTAGGAGCACATACAAAGTAGATGGAAAATAAGGAAGAGACAGAAAGAAGGGTGAAAATGGGTGATAAGTGAAATATTAAGGTGTCATATGCCAAGTTGTTTTTGTCTTGCTGCTTGATTGCTTATAATATGGGCTTCTTTGTTCTGTTCTTTGAAATTCTCACTAGCGAATTTAAATTCTCCAGCTGTTATTTTTTAATCCTCAAATATTTACTGTTGTTAAAATGGAATATCAAAGTAGTGTGGAAAATTTGTTCTCTGAGCTCTATTATGCTAGTTCAGCATTCCCTCCCTGGCCAGGTAAAAATTTCACCAAAATCTTATACTAATAACCTTGAAATTTCAGAGTGCTAACATGACCAGAGTACACACACTTCTCATAGCTGACTCAGTTCCAATTTTGCCTAATGCCAGCCATTAAGTTAGAAGGTACTTATTTCAGGTATACTCACCCCAGCAATAGAAAAAATACTCTAACAAGTAAAAGTTTGGCATTTCTCCAAACGTTTACTACTTTCTGAAGCCCTACCACTTCTATTTCTACACATTCCTAAGCCAATGTTCTTCAAAATCCTAGATAAAAACACAGATCTCTATGTAACTTTTTGCAATATGTTGAATCATATTAATTAGGAAACTTAAATAGTATAAACATAGGGTTGGCACTCAACATATCAAAATTAATAGTGCACTGATTCATATATTGAACTAATCTCTACTGAGGCAGGCCTACTCCGTGCCAATTTCTATATTTAGCACTCGAAATACAGATGAGTTAGATGAAATCCTTACCCTCAAAGACCTTACATTCTAGGGGGGATAAAGACACATAGAGAGAAAATTACACACACAGGCTAAGGAAGCACAGAAGATAAGTCTTGAAGGAAGTGAAAAGGCTTCCAGAGAAGTACCATGTTAATGAATGAGTAGGAATTAGCTAAAGAAGAGAAACATGGAGACGTTTCAGACAAAATGGCAGCATGAACAAAGGCAGAGAAATGAGAAATAGGGTAATAGTTTCTGGAAACCAAAAGCAGTTTGCAGGTTCTGACCTACACAGATCATGGCAGGAAGTAGCAGGCAGGGGATTAGCCTGGGGAAGGTAGGCAGGGACAAGGTGGCAAAGAGCTATGAAGCTTAAATTTTTATCCTCAGAAAACAGAGGAACAATTGAGGATTTTAAAGATGAGGAATGGCATGGAAAGATGTGCACTTTAGGTGAAACATTCTAGTTGTTAAATCATGGGTAGATTTGGAGAGACAAAACTGATGGCAGGGAGAGTAGTTAGGAGGTTGTGGCAATGTTCTAGAACAATGCTTCTCAAAATTTATTGTGAGTACAAATAACCTAGGTATCTTGACAAAATGCAGTTTCTGCTTCAGTAGGTCTGCAGTGAGGCCTGAGATTCTTTTTCTAGCAAGATCCCAAATGACGCTAATAATGCTGTCCACAAACCACACTTTGAGTAGCAAGGCTCTAGGAGAGATATTGAGGGCCTGACCTAGTGTGGGAAAAGCAGGGCTAGAGATAAGGGAACAGGTAAAACAGTTATGGCTTGGTATTTCATTAGATATTAAAAGTGAAGAAGGTAGTGTTGGGGGAGTCATAGTGAACTAGAGGTTTCTACTTTGAATGAATGGAATTGAAATGGCTAAGAAGTGTCCAGGTAAAGCAGTAGCTGCCAGTTGGATATGAGTCCAAAGCTTGACAGAAAGGTCATAAGTATACAGATAAGATGAAATCAGGGGAACAGATTAGATCATGTTTGTAGAGCGAGGTCAAGAATGGAGCCACAGGAACACCTACATTTACGTAATGAACTAAAAAAAAAAAAAAAAAAAGAGCCCCAAAGAAAACAGAAAAGAAATAGAAACATATGAGAAGAGCCAGAGCGTAAGGAGTTACATATGACAAGATTAGGGCTTCAAGAAGGGAGTAATAAATATTTTCACATGAAGCAGAAAGGTCTAGTAAGGAAAGAACTGAAAAAGAACGGTGAGTGGAGGAAGAGAAGTGGGTGGGAGAGAATATGAAAAGCGAATAAAACACACTAGTAGTGAGAAGGTGCCTGTGGGGGAAAAATGAAAAAAAAAATGGTTAGAAGAGCAAGTGGATTACTCCAGTCAGGATCAGAATCTTTATTGTGTCTGAATTCTTGCCACTCTTTCTAGCTCCTTTGTTAATACTCTCTCCTTCCCACTTCTACCATTCTAAATCATATACTTCCTCTTCGAATGCTTTTTGAACCATGATGTTTCACTCCTCTGGTTACCAAAAATATGTACACAAAAATTCATGCCTGTGGTCTCTTACAATGAAATATCATTAACACAACTAGTTTCTACACTTGCTCCTTCAGGAAAAATGGCATACCCACATTTGTATTCCCAAGAATAACTAACCTAGTACCCTAGAGGCATTTAAACCATACTTAGTGGCTAAATAATATAACCACAATGTCACTAATTAAAAATACTTCCTTATGTACTTATGATATAACATGGGACCATGGGAATACCTATACTTGATTCTATAATTAATGAAGGTCATCTAAACTTATTCTGAGTCTCATTTTCTAGAAACCAACAGACAGACCCTGAAGTCCTTACTCATCTAAAAGTCTATAACACCATGAGTACTATCAACCTCCTACTCAATAAGAGTAGAATGATATATACATAAGCCAATATGTTTCATAAAATATAAATTTTCTATGAAAGAGTTTTGGTATATTCTTACTGTTTACCATTTGCATCTGATTTTGCTAGAAGAGGTTTCTCTCTTATCTTGTCTACAAACTTCTTCCTAGCTTCATTTCTTTTGTGTTTTTTCCCAACATAATGTTGTTGGGCCATTAATGGACTATTAAAGGAAGCAGGACAGAGCTTGCAATACTTGTTTGGATTATTCAAATCCAAAGCACTGCTGGAAGAGGAAGGCACAGTCTTGTCTTTAATCCCACCTGGAGGAGGCTTGACAGCAAGAGGCTTCAGAAAAGTTGATTCTGCAGAAGTAGTAATAGGCACACCTGCTGAAATAGTTGTAATGAGAAGTGATCAACATGTATTCAGCTATTGGAGCTGCATTCATTATAAAGTATTAGGGAAATTCAGAATTCTCTGAAAACTTGCTATCTTTGGACTTTTTCCACACAGGCTGTTGAATAAAGGTACTTAAGTTAAAAAGCATTTCCTTCTGTGAAAACAAAAATTTAATACAAGTCTGGCACCAAGTTTCTCCAATAAAGGTACACGAAGGAAGAATATTCAGCATTAGCTTTTAGGTTATTAATTTGAAAAATAAATGAAAGCATGAGAGCTTAGGATGACTCTTAAAATTAGTGAGGGTAAAACAGAAGGTACCAACTTCTAAGCTGGTGCATTTCTTGAGTAGCACAGTAAGTCTATAAAGTCCAGACCTGTGGTGTTTGTATCAAAATAAAATTTATGTAGTTATTTAAGGCTATGAAAACATGTTTCCACAATTACAGTTATTTCAGAGCTCTTATATTTTGTATCCTCTCTGAGCTCAAACTGATAAATTGTGGGGACTGAAAATAAGACTTTACAAGATACTTTCTATTGTAGGACATACTGATTCTAACCCTCTTTGGACTGACAGGAAGAAAAACAAATATACAAAAATTAGAGAGACTAGAATAAGTATAAAAATAATTCTGGTTTAATTTATTAAGATAACAGTATGTTTTAATGCTGTATGAGGCCTACAATATGAGTTGGAATTAATGTTGTTAAATTTTTCACGCTATGAATGCCTTATTCCTAAAGTGTTGAAGCTAGTGAGAATGTGGTGAATTATTTATTCCAGAGGATTATTCATCACTTTTTTTGTTCTCATTTTTTGTTTCAAATACAAGTTTGATTTTACAGGGTATACTCTGCCAGCTTAGGCCAGAAGTGAGATATTTGGGTTAGATTTCTCATGCTCTGGTGACTCAACATCACTGAAGGAGGAAAGAGGCAATGTTTTATAGTTCTCTGTATCTTTGGGATCTAGCATAAAATAAGTTCTCATTACTGATTGATGATGTTGGTGGTACTTTTTCTTTATATTGAGAGGAAGAAAGAAATGAACTATCAGGGTAGAAGGAGATTCCATATTTATTTCTTTTGTTTATAGTTACAGTTAGAAAATGCTACACCATAACTATATTATGATTAAGACAATGGTCTGAACACACATGTGAAAGAATGTTTTAGAAAGTACTGAAGAAAAAAACTGTGATAGATGGCAAAGGGAAGAATTAAGAAGGAGCTAAGATTTTATGATTTGATTAGAACCTGACAGCTCAGGCTGCTTTTTAATGTTTATTTATAGTAGTATAGCAAATAACTTGTTTTCATTTGTATTTAATAAACTGAAAAGGAAATATCATAACATTTCTTAAAATTCTGCTAGCAATTACAGTCTCCATATTAAATGACAAAGACAAAGAGATTACTGGGCAGAAAAAGAATCGAGTTATTGTTCCAGAGTGAAAGTCTCTCCAGTAAAAAAAATGGATAGAGGTTAGAAAAAAATGACAGTGAGGCCCTGTATGGAAGCTAAAGAGGTGAATATAACCTTACCCAACTCTGGCTGAAATCCTGATGGAGATACCTGATTATGTTCCTCCATTAATTGCTTCAGTTTTTTAGCATGGACTTTTCCCACATAATGAGACTGAGCAACAACTGGAGAGCTAAATATCATGTTGCAGAGATCACAAAATTTGTTTCTGTCCACTACATCACTCTTATGCACCTGAAATAAGCACAATCTTATTAGAATGATTTGATAACTCAAAGTTTAGAATTATAACATCAATATATGCCACATACCTTAAAATTCTTAACATCCATCTTCATTTTCTTACCAGGCACTTCGTCTTGTTCCCCATGAATTTAAGAATAAAAGCTAACATTCTGAGTATGTTTCTCACTCTGAAAAAAGATATAATATGACTTTGTACATTCAATGACAGAGGCACCCCAAATTTATACCTCTCTGAATTTCAGGATAACATTTGTGAGTTGTAATATATGTGGTGTGTACCAAGTTTATGAAAGAGCTTCACAAGCTTTTCAAAATCTCTAAATCTCAGTTAAAATGAGAATACTACTATAATTTAGAGGTCAATAACTTTACATTCTTGTTTTTGACAGACTCCTGATTGCTTCTCCATATCAAATTTCTTCTGCTTTACTTACACATCTTGGGCAATATACCCAGCTAAAAGACTGCAAGTTTCAGCTTTCCTTTCAGCAAAACATAACCATATGACTAGATTCTGGCCAGTAAGATATAATCTGAACTGCTGGATAGAACTTCTGAGAAATCTCTTTAACAGGCTGGGAGATGAACCCCTTTTCTAACCTTCTTCCCTCCTGTTTCTGGAATTAAGATGGAAAGGTCAGAGTTCCAACAGTCATTTGGAGCTATGGGGGATCTTGAGGACAAAAGCTAGCTCATCAAAAAAGAAAGACAGAAAATGCCTAGGTCCCTGATGATGTCATGGAACTGTCATATCAGCCTTGTACTGCCTACCTCTCAAATTCTTTTATATGAAGATTCTAACCCTTCTAGGTTAATTAAGCATATTAGAGATTAGAAAAATCTCTAAAAATGTGTAACAACATATATAAGAATAACAAAAGTGTTGGTGTTGGTAGAGGGAAACTAATATTCCTGAGCACATGCTGTGAGACAATCACTCTCTATCTACAGAATTTTAAATTATGAAATATACCCATCTTATAGAAAAGCACAGGAAATAATATAGTTGAAGCCCATTCTCACCATATATGCAGTCCTTTTTCCTCAGGCCCACAATCTCTTCTTCCTCACTTTCTCCCCATTAGTAACTATTAAATTAAAGTTGATCTGTATCATTTTCTTTCATGGTTTTATTCTCTTACTACATATGCATGTACCCATAAATAGTATTATATATCATCATTTAAAATTTTTATGAAAATAGAACCAGTCTATCATATCCTTTTTCAACTTGCTTTTTATAACTCTGTACTATATTTTTAAGATTTACCCATATTGACACATATAGTTCTCATTCATTTCTACTACATGTTTCATAATATTCTACTTTATATGTTATCCATTTAGTCCTGAATTGAAGGCAGTGATGTTTGTTTATTTTGCTATTACAAGAAGTTCTGCATTAAAAATATGTAAACACATCTCCTAATATACATATCCAAGGCTTTCTTTAAAGTAGATATCTAGAAGTAGGATTCTCTCAACTTACAAGATATAAGGAATTTCAACTGTAATATGTATTACAAAATTTCTCCCCAAAGATGTTGCAGCAGCCTACAACTCCAAATGCAGTGTATTTAAGTGTTTGTCTTCCTGTATTCTCCTAAAGTGTTATGCGCCATTAGATTTTAATTTTTTTTTTACAAATAGTTTATTGTCAAGTTGGTTTCCATATAATACCCAGTGCTCATCCCACAAGTGCCCTCCTACATGTCCATCTCCCTCCTCTCCCCCCCATCAGTCCTCAGTTTGTTCTCAGCATTCAAGAGTCTCTCATGGTTTGCCTCTGTCCCCCTCCCCCACTATTTCCCCCTTCTTCTCCCCCACGGTCCTCCGTTAAGTTCCTCCTAATCCTCCTATACGTGCAAACATATGGTATTTGTCCTTCTCTGCCTGACTTATTTCGCTCAGCATAACACCCTAAAGGTCCATCCA